AACCCAAAAATAACCCAAAAACACCCCAAAAACACCCAAAAACACCCCAAAATATCCCAAAATATCCCAAAACATCCCAAAATATCCCAAAAATATCCCAAAAACACCTCAAAACACCCCAAAGCATCCCAAAACCCCCAGAACACTCCAAAATAGCCCAAAACCTGCTCCCAGTCCCTCCCAGTCCATTCCCAGTCCCCCCAGTCCATCCCAGTCCATCCCAGTCCCTCCCAGTCCCTCCCATTCCATTCCCAGTCCATCCCAGTCCCTCCCAGTCCCCGGGTGTCCGAAGGGGAAGAGCAGCAGCCTCAGTTTCCTGCCCACGTACGCCGTGTCCACCGCAAAGTAATACTTGAGAGTGCCGGCGGGGAGCCAGCGGCACAGCTGGGGATGGAAACAGCCTTCATCATCATCATCATCATCATCTTCATCATCATCATCATCATCCTCATCATCATCACCTTCATCTTCATCATCACCTTCATCATCATCCCCATCCCCATCATCCCAATATCAACCCTTGAGAGTGCCGGCGGGGAGCCAGCGGCACAGCTGGGGACACAGAGAGCCTTCATCATCATCATCATCATCATCATCATCATCATCATCATCCTCATCATCTTCATCACCTTCATCATCCTCATCATCATCATCATCCCCATCACCTTCATCATCCCCATCATCCCAATATCAACCCTTGAGAGTGCCGGCGGGGACAGCTGGGGACACAGAGCCTTCATCATCATCATCATCATCCTCATCATCTTCATCACCTTCATCATCCTCATCATCATCATCATCCCCATCATCATCCTCATCCCCACCATCCCTGAGCGCTGCCTTCATTCCCATCATCCCAATATCAACCCTTGAGAGTGCCGGCGGGGACAGCTGGGGACACAGAGCCTTCATCATCATCATCATCATCATCCCCATCACCATCCCCATTATCCCAATATCAACCCTTGAGAGTGCCGGCGGGGACAGCTGGGGACACAGAGCCTTCATCATCATCATCATCATCATCATCATCACCTTCATCATCACCTTCATCATCATCATCATCCCCATCATCATCCTCATCCCCACCATCCCTGAGCGCTGCCTTCATTCCCATCATCCCAATATCAACCCTTGAGAGTGCCGGCGGCACAGCTGGGGACACAGAGCCTTCATCATCATCA